GGCTTCCTTTTCCCTACATCAGTCTCATCGATGAGCATCATGGTGAACTCTTTCATGACCTTCTTTTCCCTATGCCAAGCTTATCAATTTGTTGCCCAAGCAACCTCTATTGTGACTTATGCATTGTCGAGGCAGATCTCAGAAATTAAAGAGGTTAGGAGCATACATAGGTGGCAATGAGATTGACAATGCACGAAAGTGGCAAGGGATTAAAATCACATGCAAACAACTATGGGACCAGCGGAATGTGAATTAGCAAGATGATGTGATGGATTAGCTGATATTTTTGTTGGTTTCTAAAGTTCTTCGCTCCATGAGAGGTATTAATGGAGTATAGTTGTTACATATGTAAATTGAAGAGCCAAAGTGATTACTTATGAAGTACAGCATGCAAATTTCAATGGAAAATGCACAAAAATTACACCTTTAAAATGTCAAACAAAGAAAGATTCCATCAACTACAACAATCTAATTAAGAATCTATCTTATCAGCAGCCTTTCCAGTGAAATAGTTATCATTTCACCATAATACATGCCTGAACTACACATTACACACTAAATGATGAAGTCCTTTTTCACACACCCCCTTCCTTACCACAACAAAACCGCCTAAGAGGCATCTTCCCAAACACATGTAGATCAACAAATTCCTGTAGAAAGTTATGGTATTTACCTATGGAAAAGGTGCAACAACTAAACATACAAAGAAAAATTCCAACTTGAATAAAGATTACACAGTGACCATTCCATTTTTCATAGCTTCAAGCATTCAACAATACTAACTTAAATCATCACCTACAAATCATGTCATGCTCAAGCAGAGCAGAAGCAATCGATCAGAAAAATTGAAGCAAATATAAGAAATGGACATACTTGAAAAGCCGGACAGGTCCTTCGAAGGCATGCTGATGCCCATTCTCCATACTTAACGGCGACTCCACCTCCACATCACCGGTGCTAATCTTCACCTCCTCATTTGAGCCGGAAAACGAGTCCCCAAAGGAGCTCGAGTGCTCGGTAGCGTCGGCATCCGGAACTTCAGCTTTCACGATAGGCGTCGAAGTCCCTTCCTCGCATCCGATTACATCCACCTCCTGATCCTTTGCTGTTGGTGCCCTAATAGAATCAGCATGGAAGCCATAGCCGCGGTTATTCGCGCCTAAAAGATGATCAGCTCCCATGGCCAACGAATCGTTCTCTTTTTCCTTAAGGATTGCATCCTTCGCTAGAATTTTGGGCTTTACTTCTTCGATTCCGGGAACGAGTGCTTGAACAGCACTCATCCTGCAGAAACTTCGATCCTAAAGGCTTTTGAATTGGAAGTGGGATACAAATAGGTCACTGGAAAGCCGTATAAGCTAAGTGCTGAGCAACGGGGTATGGTTGGAAGACGAAGGTGGCGTCGTGGTTGTGGCGCGGGGATGCAGTGGGCCGGCGGCGGCGGCGAAAAAACGATGGGTGTTGAGACTGTGTCTAGGGTTTCCTCGGATTTGTTTGGGAACGAACGATTGCCTTTTGATTTTGATCTGATGGTTACATACACGCTTAGGTATACCGAAGGAATTTCCGCCATCTAAGGTGGAAAAATTAGTATTTACAAAAGTTTTTACATATATGCCATTCAATTTTTATTTATTTATGCATATAATAATTAAATTCCAATTTTTATATGTAAGACATCGTATTTATGTGTATTTTACTTCTTAAAAATTAAAATAGTGATGGCTTTTTATGTGTTTTATAGAATCATTGTGGTATAAAATTAAAAAATGCACTTTTATGTGTTAGGCATGTAAATTTATATACGAATTAAGAGGTGTGTATGTAGATGATCCCAAATGAAATACAAAAAAAAAATGTATCCCCTCGCTCAAATAAGTCATATACGTATATTTGATTAGAGTGATTCATATTTGTTCGAAATTAAGTCATTTGATCGGAAATAAGTCATATATGCATTTTTTATGAGAAATAAGTCATTTGATCATATTTAATGAGAAATAAGTCATATGTGTATATTTAATCATAAATAAGTCATTTGATCAGAGTGATTAACATTATTGCATTACTTGTTTCAATAATTCTATAAATAGAGTCACACATCTCTCATGAGTTGAGGAGGGTGTTTAAGCTCTGAGGAAAGCTTGAGGCTTGATGAAGAGCTTGAAGCTTATTTAAGAAGAAGTTGAAGTTCAACACCGCTCTTGTCGTTGTCGACCTCCGCCGACCGACATCGACAGTCGCTGATCGTCGTTGACCCACTTACCGTTGTCGACCCCTCTTAATGTTATTGACCACCGTAAACCTCGACCAATCGCCTTCATACACTGTTTGCCCCGGTCGAGCATCGCCAACCACCGCCGATCGTCGTTAACTACCGTCTGCACGCCGCCACCGATCCCTATCAGTCGTCTTTCATTCCTTCCAAAAAGTTCATCAGCGCTTCAATTTTATAACTTGAGAGACATTCTAATTCTTTCCCATAAGTGAGACGGCATGTTGTACTTATAATCATCATTTATAATGAAACTCTTCAGCTTAGCCAAACATCGTGATTTTTTTCGTTACGGGCTTTCCAAGTAAAAACATCTCGTGTTATTGCTAGTAGACTTTCTATCTCCTAAGTGTGTGTTGAACCTTGTGTCACACTAGATGATAATCTACTACTACATTACCTCGAATTTTCTAGCACACATCAAGGTTGATAGCATGTGAGTAAAAGATGGTTCCATGGTGAGCATTGACATCATTAGCGTCATGTAAGGAGAAGATGAGGCTCTTCGTGGATAGGATTATGAGATTGGCAACCGTCAGCATGCAGGCTTGAGAGCATCACACAAGTATAGCACATGTGATTTCATGATAAACAAACTTTAAGCCATATGTCTCAAATAAATTCTTTAAATTTATGCCTTTCAAGTCATATAAATTCAAAATTCCTTTCAGAAATGGGGTATTTACAGCCCTACCATCTATTTCTTATGTATTTATATAACTAATTATTTAAATCTAAAAATATTTCACATCACATAAAAATATCGCTATTTTAATAAAAAAAAAAGGGGAAATACAATTTTTCTTTATGCATAATAAAAACTATATGCGTCAAAATTTAATATTTAAATGTTATTCATGAAAATATTCGAGCATTCAACATGTCGTTCTTGTGATGTAATATGAATAAATTTTTATAAGAAATCATTACATGTAGTGATTGCACATTCGAACTACAACACAAAAGAACGATAAATTTTTACATCAAGATTGTGTCTAGAGTCCAATGAAAATTTACGTGTCAAGTAGATCCCATCTAATACATTGAATGTCTAGGTTTTCTTAAAGGACTTAAGTCCACTTACCAAAAGAACTGTTGTGTGATCTATTGTGATCGGACAACACATAATAATTTTTCATTTGCATAACCCTGAACAATACATAAATAGGGTTGTAAACGAGCCGAGCTTGAGCGAGCTCAAACTGGGCTCCTGTTCGGCTCGTTTGAAATAGCTCGTGTTTGAAATCGGTTTGTGAACAGTGTGTTCGTGTTCGACTCGATTTAAATATTCGTATTCGTGTTCAATTTGTGTTTAGCTCGAAATCGGTTTGTTAAAATTAAATTTAAAAAAAAAAAATTTAAATGTGAGATTTGAACGTAGACCAAATGTATAAAAAAATACACTAATCACTTTACCACACGATGTGTTATGATTTAAATTCAGATATAAATTTATATAATATATTATTATATAAATAAAGCTGAAGCTGAGCTGGTGTTCGGCTCGTTCGAAATAGCTCGTGTTCGAAATCAGCTTGTGAACAGTGTGTTATTGTTCGACTCGATTTAAATATTCGTGTTCGTATTCAGCTCGAAATTAGTTTGTTAAAATTAAATTGAAAAAAATAAATGTAAAATGTGAGATTTGAATGTAGACCAAATGCATACAAAAAAAATACACTAACCACATTACCATACGAAGTGTTATGATTTAAATTTAGATATAAATTTATATAATAATATTATTATATAAATAATATATCTAATAACAAGACGAACAAGAGTGAACAAAGAAAGTTTATTCGTGCTCAGCTTATTTACTTAAAGAACGAAATAAATACGAGCTGCTTAACAAGACAAACACAAATTATAGAGAAGAAAGCGTTTTTCTTTTTTACAGCCCTACACATAAAGTAATGTTATTCATGCAAATCTTATAAGAAAATGAAGGACTCAATTTCTGAATTATTGGCCGATTAATTCCGGGTTTTGTGAGCAGGGAGGGGAGAGAGCGCCGCCGATGCCGGGTTCGTTGTCCGCTTCCTCCGCCGCCGCAATGGAGCCTGTCGAGCCACAGTCCCTGAAGAAGCTGAGCCTCAAGTCCCTGAAGCGCGCCCTTGATCTCTTCTCCCCGATCCACGGCCATTGCACGCCTTCTGATCCCGCAAGGTTTTCCTTTCTCTCCTTTTGTCTCCGTTCCTTCGAAACCCTAACCTTTCCAGTTTCAATGCTTTCTTCTGGAATCTAATCTTCTTCATTTTTTTTTTGGCTCTAATTCTTGCTGGCCGCATTTCTCAGCAAGCAGATTCGAATTAGCTATAAGGTCAGTGTTATTTTGATTTTTATTGTTTCCTCTACGATCTCCCTATCTTGTTATTCAAAGTACGCTAAATTTGGGGTTTTTGGAATCTGTAGTACTTTGTTTTTCTCTATTGAAATTTGGGGTTCGAATGCAAGAATTTCTTTAGTGCAATAGTTGAGATTTGTTTTCTCCTCATAACCCTGCGAGAAAAGAGTAAAAAAGATGTATTATTTTGTGATCATGCGAGTCTTTTACCTTTTTTATTTTTTTGGAAATTTACATACACACCACACAATTCTTATTAATTTAATTATCTGAGTCTTTTACCTTTTTTATTTTTTTGGGAAATTTACATACACACCACACAATTCTTATTAATTTAATTATCTAACACGCAAAGTTTGATATTACATTTATAACATCCTGGTATTGAAAAAAACTGTGCTTGAAAATGTGCATTTCACTTTTAAATGCTAATGATTGTATTTGTTATCATGCAATGTCAAAGATTTGAGTGTCACAGATTTGAGTGTCACGTAACGAGGACTATGAAAAAAACAACAACAATGACAACTACAAGCCTTTATCCCACCAAGTGGGCTCAACTACATGAATCCCTTTTCTCCATTGTGTCCTATTGAGTGTCATATTTTCATTTAATTCTTAGAAATTAAAAGTATTTTTATTCAACAGGCCCAGGTCTTTTTAGGTCTACTTCTACCTTTCTTAACATAATCAAATCTACTCTTCTAACTGTATCATCAGATGATCAATTTTTAATGTGATCAACCATCTAAGATGACTCATTCTAATATTGTCTGTCACTGGAGCTACACCAACCCTCTCACTTATATATTTGTTTCACATTTTTTTTCTAAGTGTAAAACCACTCATCCACCTAAGCATTCTCATCTCAACAACACTTAACTTAGGTTGATGCTCCTCTTTTATAGACCAACATTTTGCGTCATAAAACATTGCTTATATATTTTATAGACCAACATTTTGCGTCATAAAACATTGCAGATTTCACCACCATCTTATAAAATTTTCCTTTAAGTCTATGGAGTACTTAAATATGAAAATTTAGGTGTTAAATATATAAACATATTAAAATTGTGTGGTATTATGTAAAGACCCTTATCTTTTTTGTAAAGAAGAAATATTGACCATTATTTTTGTGGCGTTCTTATTTGAAGCTGAATGCAGAGTATGGTTCGGTGAAGGATCTTTCCTCTGATAAAGGCCAAGGTCAGGTTGGCAATGATGCAAAGGCTCAAAGGGATAAAACACCGATCTCTTCAGCTTTGGCTCTTCCAGGTGCTTGGAGATTTTTGCTCCTCGTAGCTTTTTCTTGTTCCATGAATTCTAAATCAATATTTTAAAATGGTTAGCGACATCATAATTAAATTTTTGCATTTACATACATACCACCCAATTCATTTGTATTTACATTCTAACACCTAAAATTTACTTTTTTTCCATTTACACCACACAAATCTTTCTTATCCTTTAAAAAATACCATTTTTTTCACTTTAAAATGTAAAATATACCTTTTTTATGCATAAAAAAGATGGTATATATTTGTAATGATTGAAGTTTAGGTGCTGTATGTAATTAAATATGAATTGAGTGGTATCTATGTAAATCTTCCAAACTTTAAAACATAAATTTAAATTGTTGAAAGATCATTTTCTTGTACATATGAAGCCATGCTATAGAGTTTAATGAAGTAATAGTATTATGCATCTTTCATGGTAGTCTTGTTAATGATTCATCAATATGTACAAAAAATTTGTCCACCAACTTGTTGCTTCAAAAAGGAAATGGTTTAGTTGGGATTTTACATTGAACTTGTTTTCTTAGGTAAAGATGATATTAGAGAGCTTCCACAGGGTGAAAATGCTATTGTGCTCGGGCCAACAATGCCACCGAAAACATTGTATGTATTTCATTGCATTTTCTTGTGATTTTATAAATTTTTGGATTTCATAACTAATTGTGACACTTTTTGCTAGGGAGACAGGTATTCCTAGTAGAAGCATCACTGGTGCTGTGGTGTCAATTTCCGGTTCTTCTGACAGGTCTATACAAACACCATTTTTTTGGGGTTTTGTATCTTGGGCTACTTGTCTTTTATATCTGGTTTATTGTTTGTACAAAACTAATTAATTGCACCTAGAATTGTCAAATGTCTCAAATACGGAAGAATAGGTGAAGTTTGCACACAGTTAATTTGGATGGATTGTTTCACAAATTTGTCAAACTGATTGAAATGAAAATTCGAAATCTAAAATACCGAACAAACTAATTTTTTGCTAAATCTGATCCAAATCAAACCTAAATATAATTTAGTGTTAATTGATTTGGTTTGGAGCAAACTAAAATTTAACATTTGGTTCAATTTCAAACTGAAATAATTAAAATGTATGATCTCATCGTCATCTATTTAAAATTTTAAAATTTAAACTAAACTAAAATAAATATGTCGTTTTGCTCAAATTATTTTTTTCAAATAAATCTAACTTCTAATCCTAATATTATTCAGTTTTTTTGGTTTATTTGGTCTAATTAAGATTAAAACCAATAAAAAATTCAAAAATCGAACATTAATTTAAAATGATAAAAACTGAACCAAATCAATCGAACTAGCGGTTTGGTTGGCTTTTTTTTTTTTGACCAACGAATGACTTCCTTTAGCTCTTGGTCTGGATTTCCATTATACTTTTATTTTATGATTTTGATCTCATTCTTGTCCTCTTTTTCTTATGATGATCGCTATTACCTCTTCATGTTTTGCCACCCCTTTGTTTTAATATGTAGAAATACTTATTCCATTTTTTTTCTGTGGTTTCTTTTTTATATTTTTTTCACCCCTTTGCTCCTTTTTTTGCATTGGATCTATATTGCAACTTTAACCAATTAAGTACTAGGATTGACCAATATTTTTGGCTTGAATATTCTTTTTTCCAACCGCATGTTGCCCAATTACATTCTTTTTGGGGTAAGCTTAGTCTAGTAATTCTTCATTTTCACCTGGCTTGATTTGCAAAAGTTTGTTGATTGTGGAGTAGTGACCTGGCATTACTACAACTCATTCTTGGAAGCAACCGGTGACCTTACTTTAAGGTTATACTGGATTTAAACAAGGCTTTGCATTTTTGAATTTATTGTTCCACTTAATCTTTATTTCATTTCCTCTATTTTGTATTTTTCTTTTTTACAACTTTCATGGAGAGCACTTATGCATTGTATAGCTAGTCTAGCACAAAAAATTGATGGTTCTCGGCAGTTTTAGCATAATGGGTGGAATGCACTACTATGTGTGGAGAAACAAGTATTGTTTCAATCCAAACTTGAGCTTGGGATGCAAAGTTATGACTTTTTGCATGGAGGTGAGGCTGTCCAAAAAGTTTGTCCTTTGCGAATAGCTTGTGCTAGACTCGTTGATTAGATTGCATTAAATTTGTTCGTTTAGTGAGCTGAACACAAACATTCCTTGAGCTTTGTTTAAAAATGAGTCGAATATGAACAACTTTTTGTTCAATCATGTTCGACTCATTTTTGCTCGAATTAATTAAATAATAAAATAAGTAATATTATATAACATTTTTATATTGATTTTTTATGTTTTATTTAAAAAAATGTGAAATTTTGTTATTTCTTGTATCATGCGAGCTGATTTTAAGATCAACACGAGCTGAAAAGAACAAGCGAATTCAAATCAAGCCAAAATCAACCATGCTAATCACGAGACACTTCAAACATGAGGCTATTTTGAACAAAAATTTTTTTGAATGAGCTGAACATGAGTAAGCACTACGCTCGCTCAAACTCAGCTCGTTTACACCTCTATATGGAGGGCGATTCGTAACATGAGGCGGGCTAATTTTGCAGGGAATTCCTCCATCTATTTCATTCTATAGCTGATAAGAGATGCAGTTGGCCTCTTAGCTTTGATCTTTATACACGGCGCAGTTTGTCAAACACACTAATTATGATTTTACCCCAACAAATGACATAGCAGCTGGAAATAAGTAGCTTTGGAATCAAAATAACTCCCATCATTTGTAAATTTTATGAATCTGCTGCAAAAGAATGCGGTGTCACGTGACAGTTAAGTTTTAAATTGTTTTTCAGAGCAGATAAGACGTGTTCTTTTGTCAATTGTGATATTTGTTGCTCAAGATGGAATCCATTAAAGTTAATCATTTTTTCTTGAGTTATTAGATATGGAAGTGAATTCCACTATGGCATAAAGAAAACTGCCTTGGGGCTTACCAAAGTGAACCGCTTTAGGAATAAAAGTGATTTAAGATTGGAAATGAAAGATTTGTAGTCTTCAATGTAAAGTTTAGTCTAATCTCAAATTTCTTTTTGTAATGTGCTAGTCTGATTGAAGTTTTTCCCTTATTTATGTAATCGTTGGGAGACTTTTTATGTGAGAAGATTAGCGAAGAATGGTATGAAAAGGTTTGGGGAGCTACCATCTTTATTCCATTGAATTTGATTGAAGATATTGTATTCCGTTAGAAATAGAATATTCTTTCCATTAAATATTAAGGAGTAATTCATAGAAAGCAAAATTGTTGATGAGGCAATTTATTGAAACAGGTTAGTCTAGTTGAAGCTTTTTATAAGCACGTGTGTAAAAAAAGTTATTTCTCTCTCATTAATAAATAATCTTGAGTATGGGAAATTTATATTTATTTCACTTATTTGAGGGTATTGCATTTTTGGTTCACCTACACACACACAGACACACACACAATGTTTTCTTATGCTTTGGCCCATTGTCTCTAGTTCTTCGAACACTGGTTAAACTTCAATCAAATTTGGTAAAGGACCAATCAACAAAATAGTATATAACTCAAAAGTAAAAATCATACCAGGCTTGATTCACTAAGTTTATAGGCCAATGTGTGTTTAAAATAGACTTTGTCAAACCCAAAGAGCCTGATTTGAAGCAACAAATTGCAACATAAGCATGCTATTGGACTTACTATCTATCATTTAAACAATAGACTCCATCATCCTTATGATAGACAAAAGTTATCCAGGTGCAAAAATATCATTACTTAATGGGCCCTCATCTTGTGTTTTTTAATTCCATGTTGCTTGGGGAGAAAAGGGATATATATTCTCTCATTGGGGTGTGGTGAATATCATTACTTAATGGGCCCTCATCTTGTAACCCCTAAAATTAACATTTAAACTCCTTTTATCATTTGTGTTTTTTAATTCCATGTTGCTTGGGGATAAAAGGGATATATATTCTCTCATTGGGGTGTGGTGAGGAAAATGAAAACAAAAAATGGTGAAACCCTACAATAATTTGACAACAATATTCCTCTAGATATAGGGAGTGCTCTTCAACTTAATCCCTGCTCCCTTATCTTTTTGATTGACATCTTACCGATGTTGTTGTTAAATAACTTGTTGGAGTGTGCATTATGCCCTCTCATAGAGTTGAAGCTAATGATGTCGCCCATGTGAGATTTTCATGGCACAATGGTGAAGCTTTATCTTATCAAGTGCTTTTCACATCACTAACACATGATTTTCATGACGTTATAGAAATATTTGGCTTCGACACTTCGCTCGTTAGCATATACAAACTCCTTTTATCATGGTATTTGGATTAAATTAGTTTTTCTCACCTCACTTCTAGGTTGATATGGAATATTTATCAAAGTTTCTAGCGAAATTCCTCCGAGTTAAACACTAGATCATTTTACATAGTGGGGTTATGCAAAAGTTTTTTCCCATTTTTAGGCAAAAATTAAAGAAAATAAATGAATAGCCTAATTAAAATGACCTTGCTGACATAGAAAATAAATTACTCGCCACTTTAAACCTCAAAAGTATGAGTTGAGTTGAGTAGGGTTGAGTACAGACCTTTGACACTCCTCACGCTAAAAGGAAAGGACAACGGTTCATCATCTAAATGACATGTATTTTAATGGAAACAATCAATCCAAAGACCTTCAGACGATTGTCCTAGTTGATTTCCATAAACTTTCTAGTAAAGAAAAGAACCATGAATTTTTGCATATCAAAACCCTTATGAATGTAAATAATATGCTTCTAATACGCACTATTAATGAAATTGATGGCTGTAGTGATGCCATTTGTGTTAGCATGCGAGTTTTTTTTACTGTGGTGTTTAAAAAATTTCTTATGCTTGACGGCATATTATTGAATTTTTGCTATATTTCTAGAAGTATGTACATACTAACACCCAATTCTTATGTGTTTACATGTCTAACACCTAAATTTCAATTTTTACATATATGCCTCCTCACCAATGCATGAAAATGTGTATTTAGCTTTTATAAAATAACAATAATGCTATTTTTTTTGTGATATGAAAAATTTGGGCTGTATAAATGCAAAAAAAAAAACAACTTTAGGTGTTAGATATGAATTGGGTGGTATGTATGTAAATGCCGCCATTTTCTATACACCTTAATATTTCAAACTATACACCTTAATATTTAATTTTCAAACTTTCACATGACAACAAGATTTGTTTACCTTTCAAGGCATCCGTCAACATCGGCGCTTATGGAACGAATTCCAAGCAAATGGCCCCGTCCTGCTTGGCATCCTCCATGGAAGAACTATCGAGTATGCTAACCTTCTATTTACGCATTTCAATGCCTCTATTTTCCATTTGTGTTTAAACCCAAATAGTTAGATCAAGCTGATAATGGTGATCATGATATGTGCTATTGGAGTTATTTTCTATCTTTGCATTCACTGCTGTTTCTCTTGTTATTAGCTTTTAAATATTTGTTTATTTGTGGTAAACTTCGGGCAATGAATCAAAGGCGCTAAAATTTTTCATGCAAATATGAATATTTACACATTCATTTTTTGGCACAGTGGGGTAGAAAACCTGACCATGATGTTTACATATTAC